GGGGGGTGGCTCAGGGGTTTTAGCTTCAAGGTCAGTGGTGGTGGTCAGGGGGTAGCTTCAATGTCAGTGGTGGTGGGGTCAGGGGTGTAGCTTAAGTGGGCATGGTGGTGGCCCCAGGGTTTTAGCTTCAAAGGCATTTGGGGGTTGGGTCAGGGTTTTAGCTTTCCAAAATGTCAGTGGGGGTGGCTCGGCGTAGCTTCAATTTTCCCTTTTGGGGGTCAGGGGTAGCTTTAAGTGTCATGGGGTGGGTCAGGGGGTGCTTCAATGGGCAGTGGTGGTGGGGTCCCGGGGGTAGCTTTTAAATTTTCAGTGATGGTGGCTCAGGGGTGTAGCTTCAAGTGTCCCGTGGTTTTGGCTCAGGGTTTTAGCTTTAAGTGTCAGGGGGGTGGGCTCAGGCTGTAGTTCAAGGTCAGTGGGGTGGCCAGGGTGTTGCTTTAAATGTCGTGGTGGGGTGGGTGTAGCTTCAAGGGGTCAGTGGTGGTGGGGTCAGGGGGTAGCTTCAAGTGTCAGTGGTTTGGGGGCTCAGGGGTGTAGTTCCCAAATGTCTTTGGGGGTGGCTCAGGGGGTTTGCTTTAAATGTCAGTGGGGGGTGGTCAGGGTGTAGCTTTGAAGTTGGTCAGGGGGTGGTGGGTCGGGTGTAGCTTTAAGTTCATTTGGGGGTTGGGGTCAGGGGGTTTGCTTCAAATTCAGTGGTGGTGGCTCAAAAGGGGGTTGTAGCTTCAAGTGTCCCTTGGGGGTGGCTCAGGTTTAGCTTCAAGTGTCAGTGGGGGTTTTCTCAGGGGGTAGCTTAAATGTCCTGGTTGGGGGCTCAGGGGGTTTGCTTCAAGGCCGTGGTGGGGGCCAGGGTTTTTGCTTTAAGTGTCAGTGGTGGGGGCTCCGGGGGTAGCTTAAGTGTCATGGGGGTGGCTCCCGGGGGGTCTTCAAGTGTCAGTGGTTTGGGGGGCTCAGGGGGTAGCTTTAAAGGCATGGTGGTTTTCAGGGGTGTACTTCAAATTCCGTGGTGGTGGATCAGGGTGTAGCCTTTAAGTTCAGTGGGGTTTGGGGCTCAGGGTTTTAGCTTCAAGTGTCAGTGGGGGGTGGGCCCGGGGGTTTTGCTTCAAGTGTCCGTGGGGGGGTCAGGGGGTGTAGGGGGGGTTTAAGGGGGGTTTAGTGAGGGGGGCTCAGGGTGTAGCTTCAAGTGTCAGTGGTGGTGGTTCCCGGGGGTGTAGCTTTAAATGTCAGTGGGGTGGTCAGGGTGAGCTTCAAGTGTCAGGGGACGTTTAAATGTGGGTTTTTTGTTGATATTTAAAAACACACCTGTGATTTTTGAATTTTAAAAATATTGGCCCCCCTTTTTTCACCCATAAACCCTTTTAAAAAAAACACTGATATTGATACCTGAAGTTGAAAACTGTGTTGATACACTGATGTTTATTTTCACGTGTTTATACAAATGAGTTGAAAAATGATGTTTATACACTGTTTTTGATTTCAAGATGTGATACCTGATGTTTAAACATGATGTTTTATACAGATGTTGATACATGATGTTGATACACTGATGTTGATACACTGATGTTAATACACTTTATGTTGATACACTGATGTTGATACACTGATGGGTTTATACACTGATGTTTGATTTCACTGATGTTGATACACCCGATGTTTTATACCTGATGTTGAAACCCCTGATGTTGATACATGGGTGTTGATACACTGATGATTTACACGATGATTTATTTTTCTAAAAATGAAAAACCCTTCAAAAAAAGCGAGTCATCCCTGACGAGTTTTTCTTTTCCGACGTCCACAGTCCCCCCTCCCCCCTGGGCTTGGGAGGGGGAGAGTGGAGGGTGAGAATGGAGGGGGTTAGGGGAGGGGGAGAGGGGCCCTAATACCACCCCCTCATCCCACATCCACCGACCCTTCGAAATTATTTTTCTTCTCCAAGGGAAATTTTGGCCCCCAAAAAACGAGAAATCACACCACATTATCAAATATGCTTGCTAGCGTCTAGTGTACTTTGCAAGGAAACCACGGAATGGGTGGGGTTAGAACCCATGGCAGGCGAGTCCTAGAACTTACAGGCCAATGCGTTAACCACTAGGCCAGCTTGCTCTAAGAAGATTCATCCAAATAGGTATATTTCAATACCCCATAGGGAGGTTAGCATGGGCCACCACTGTGACCACAAATGCAAGTGTTTACAGATGAATCCCACACCAGCCTGGTTTGTTTTTCAGTCGTGTTATCGTGATTTCGTGAGTACTAACCACAAGGATTTACATTTAGACTATTTCAAGCCATTACATATACGAAATATGCTGTAATCAGAGTCCATAAGATACACAACATTCATCGAGCTCCTGCAGAGGTCTGGTTCAACCCCACCACCTGCAGAGGTCTGGTTCAACCCCACCACCTGCAGAGGTCTGGTTCAACCCCACCACCTGCAGAGGTCTGGTACAAACCCCACCACCTGCAGAGGTCTGGTACAACCCCACCACCTGCAGAGGTCTGGTACAACCCCACCACCTGCAGAGGGCTGGTTCAACCCTACCACCTGCAGAGGGCTGGTTCAACCCTACCACCTGCAGAGGTCTGGTTCAACCCCACCACCTGCAGAGGTCTGGTTCAACCCCACCACCTGCAGAGGGCTGGTTCAACCCCACCACCTGCAGAGGTCTGGTTCAACCCCACCACCTGCAGAGGGCTGGTTCAACCCTACCACCTGCAGAGGTCTGGTTCAACCCCACCACCCGCAGAGGTCTGGTTCAACCCCACCACCTGCAGAGGTCTGGTTTTAACCCCACCACCTGCAGAGGTCTGGTTCAACCCCACCACCTGCAGAGGGTGGTTCAACCCTACCACCTGCAGAGGTCTGGTTCAAACCCCACCACCGCAGAGGGCTGGTTCAACCCTACCACCTGCAGAGGTCTGGTTCAACCCCACCACCTGCAGAGGGCTGGTTCAACCCCACCCCTGCAGGGGGTCTAGTTCAACCCACCACCTGCAGAGGGCTGGTTCAACCCCACCACCTGCAGAGGGCTGGTTCAACCCCACCACCTGCAGAGGTCTGGTTCAACCCCACCACCTGCAGAGGTCTGGTTCAACCCCACCACCTGCAGAGGTCTGGTTCAACCCCACCACCTGCAGAGATCTGGTTCAACCCCACCACCTGCAGAGGTCTGGTTCCAACCCCACCACCTGCAGAGGGCTGGTTCAACCCCACCACCTGCAGAGGTCTGGTTCAACCCCACCACCTGCAGAGGGCTGGTTCAACCCCACCACCTGCAGAGGGCTGGTTCAACCCCACCACCTGCAGAGGTCTGGTTCAACCCCACCACCTGCAGAGGGCTGGTTCAACCCCACCACTGCAGAGGGCTGGTTCAACCCCACCACCTGCAGAGGGCTGGTTCAACCCCACCACCTGCAGAGGGCTGGTTCAACCCCACCACCTGCAGAGGGCTGGTTCAACCCCACCACCTGCAGAGGGCTGATTCAACCCCACCACCTGCAGAGGGCTGATTCAACCTCACCACCTGCAGAGGGCTGGTTCAACCCCACCACCTGCAGAGGCCTGGCACAACCCCACCACCTGCAGAGGCCTGGTACAACCCCACCACCACGGCTTTCACATCAACCTCCCATTTAATAAAAATCATCGACCTTCAATTAAAAAACCAAACCGGTCGCGTCAGGGATCAACTCATTCCAGTTTCCGTTTTTTTTTCGCAGGACGATTAAACTTATTAGAGGAAAACAGAGAGGAGATTGTTTACCTTTCTGGCCCCCTCACCCTAATTTAGGACTCTAGTGGGGTCCTCTGTTAGGACTCCAGCCTCACAGCTGATTAATTATGTGTCCATCCAGCTGGTGAGGTTGTCACTCTCTAAATATACAACCTGCATCATTCTGGCCCCGCGGATCTAAATATATAGCCAGAGAATATATTAAGTTCATTGAAAAGGTCAAAGCTTTTGTTGGCGAGAGGGAGGAGTGTGGGAGAGATTGGGGAGTGTTGGGGATGGAGGGAGGGAGGAGTGTGCTGGAAGGAGAAGAGAGGGGAGAGAGAGAGAGAGAGAGAGAGAGAGAGAGAGAAGAGAGAGAGAGAGAGAGAGAGAGAAAAGAGGGGAAAAGAGAG